AAATCATATGGGGCATGGCGCCGACATAACGACGTGGGCTTCGATCACGGACAGGCGTGAACAACGGTTCGTTGCAGCAAACTTGCACAAGCCGTTTTTGCAAGCCAACAAATGGAAGTCTTAGAACTTAGAAAAGTGGAACAGCGAGTTGTGGCGAAGGCGGCCATCCTATGTCATAGGTTCTTAACTTACTTAAATATTTGAACGAAAAATGGGTAACCTTGTGGGTTATTCATGTCCTTCTCTGTATTCCCACGAGGAAAATCCCCGAGCAGTGTTACGCGGGCTAAGGATTGATGCGTTGCTACGACTGCCAGAGCAAAGATATCAAATAAACGAATAAATCAATTGAACTTACCGTTCAGACATGTCCACAAACTCAAAATAGTAGGATCGAATGCTTGGCTTTGTGGAAGTGCAGGTCCTGGACTACCTTATTTTGACCAAGGTGACAAGTGACCTTTATGTTTTTGGAAGTTGCCCTTGACGCAAGAGAGAATTTATTGGCCATCCCAGACAGTGAAAATTCTGAAATTGATGAACATAAGATCGAAATAGTAGACTAATCAGTGAGGAAATTAAAGGAAATTCAGCAGGTAAACCCTCGGAAGGAAGTGCACTGCAAATGAGCGGCATATACATGTTGTCATCCGCGGCGTCGAGATGCGCACAGATTTCTGATACGACCGGGAAAAGCGTGTCCGGCGGCATTGACCAGGCCTAGTACCAATGCGCGGAATATTTTAATTTGAGTGTTTTCACTTTGAGAAGCTTACGTCTTGATGATATCAAACTCATCATCGACGACTTGAACGGGTGGCGGCGGTGACAAGGCTTTCTAGCTACGGATGGTGAGAGCAGCTAACCGATCGAAGAGACGGAGAAAGTGGTCGATGATCTCTCAATGCAGGCAGCAAATGACGGAGAATGGGACATTTATTTTAGGTCAGGTTTAATCAAAACAGTAAATACATGCCGCCCAACTAAGTATGTGCCACTTCTCACGTTGATTTGATAGCGTTGAGTTTGGGGGACAAAAAGTCTCTGCCCTTTTCATACCTGCGCACAAACAAGATGACCTGCCAGTGGTAACCCCAAAGAGGTAGATTTAAAAAAGAAGCACAGCAGCTAACCGATCGAAGAAACGAAGAGAGTGGGCGGCGATCACCCAATGCAGGTAACAAATGACGGAGAATGGGACATGCGCTAACACGCGGGACGGGAACTTGAACTTGCCGGAATGGTGCACCACTACCACCGGCAGACACCCACTCGTTGAGCATCCGCCTTACATACTTGATTTATATTCCTTCTTTTCACAGCTCCTTTATTTTCATTTATGTGCTTCAAAATATTATTTCCATCATCTTCACGTACCTTCCCGACGCATCCGAACGCCATCTAACTCACTTCCCGCCTCTATGAACATCTATTTACACCAGTGGCCAATATCATGCCAGCCTTGCCGCACTGAAGTTCCGCCCGACCATACCGGACGCCATACCCCGCCGTACCGGCAGTATGGCCGAGGCTCGGTATTTCTAACTCCCAAATGCTCACAATTTTTATCACTGATTGCGGCGCCGGTCGCGACTGCTGGGGTTTTCCACCCCACTGCTGTGATCTCCAATGGATAGTAGCCTGCTGCAGTTCAAACTCGAGGGTGCCCAGATCAAATGCAGCTTCAAGTTATTTCACTTTTTAGTGCTAAATGGATGTATGTTGTGCGAGCGAAAAAATATGCCGCAGGCAAACACCTCTGTAGCAAATAAACATTTTCAATGAACCGTTGATAATCTATTATATCGCAGAGAAATAACCAAACTGTGGAAGTTGACATATAAAAGTTCCAGGTAATGCCCAGGAGAGGTAACATCGTCCAGGCTCATTTTGGATGCGTAGACTTGAAGCACAGATAGGAGTCATCACGGAATATGCCGACTCCGATCACCCCCGATTCTTATCCGATTCTGCCATCAGTCTACGCTTTTTTTAAACCTGACCTAAATTTACCCCGCTATTCGCCCCACCAGTGTAATGTCTGCACCGCCTCGCAAACCAGAAAAGTGTGCTCACCGGCACACATTTTACGCAGGGCAGCAGGAATGGTAACATTTAAAGCCCAACAGGGCCCGGTAATTGCTGCCGGTATTGACCGGTATTTCCTTGCCGAATCTTGTGTAAAAAATTGCTCACTTCCCGCCGCATGCCATAAAATTCGGAATGAGCCGAAAAAAATTAAAATAGAATAAAATAAAAAGGCCTCAAGCCAGCAAAAGGGCCGCGCACCAGCGGAAAAGGCAGTGCTAGCGAAGGGGAGGGGCCTGGGGGAGCCTTCCCCAGTGTGCCGAAAACCTGCCGGAACGAGGGCCGTTGCGGTAGCCGGCAGTATCGCCTTCCATATAAAGAAAGTGCGGGACGGTCGGGTTTGGTATATCCTCCGACGGCCTTCGCTTCCCGGTCCGAGATCGACCGTACAGACTGCTACTAAAATCCTGGCTCCTCGTCGCACGGCTGCTCGATCGCCCCCGGTCTTTATGACATTCCTGCCAATTGGCCAGGGCCGGAAACGTCCAGGGAACCCAACTTACGGTCATTTGGCGTTGGACGCCGGTCAAGTTCGGTTCAGACTGTATATATAACTTGTCGGAGTAAGGTCGAAACCCTGCGGTTATTTCCCCCACTTTCCTGCCCCCACTAACTTCTAAACATTTCCTCATGGCTCAACTAGGCATGGAAGTTGGTCAGTTCTGGTAATCACTGCCTTGCGCTCTATTGATTACCTGGCGGGTCAAGGTGTCTATTATCTTGGACTTTTGTTCAATACCTTTTTATATGGTCTCGTTCTGGCCCAGTTTCTGACGTACTTCAACACCAGTTATTTCTCTCCTTTTTGTCAGCCGTCAACTCTGCTCTAAACGTTATTTGCCTTAGAATTCAACGATCCTTTGTGGATTAGGCATGTGAAGTTATATTTTCATTAGTGTTTCCTATTAACGTAACACACAGAGCTGTGGTCTGGTCGCTGTTGCTCACAGACACGGTTCATAGTGCAGTGTGTGTGCCCATGTTCATTCTTGGCATCCTGTATTGAATCGCAGTATCCCAGAGAATTTTATGCCGTTTGGGAGATGGGGTGTGTGCCATATTTTTCCCTTATCGACTCTATACTAATCTACACTGAACAGAGTCGAAAACTACGGCAATCTCGGCAGCCTCGCCTGTAAGTATACTTCCATCGCGGCATCTACATTCTGTGTGCTAAGATCAGCTATTTTAGACGTTAGCTGGACGCTATCCTTTACTGCGATAGCCACTGCTATCGCTGCGATAATCACCCAGCTGTTCCTTGTAAACAGGTGCGCCGCAAACGTAACTGATCCAGAGGGAGGGTGACGAGCAGTCGGCAGAGTGTTTTTGTTAACCAAGAGCAAGATTCTGGTGGTCATCATTTGCACATCGAGCGTTGTGGCCTTAGTATTTGCCTTTACTGCGGGTATAATGTCGGGTATCATAAAAGAGCACGTCACAATTTATGATTGATTGTGATGTGCGTTGATTAATAAATTCAACAGAGTCGCGAAATTCGGGAAAATTGTCCCATATGTGAGCCTGTACGTCCCACTTGTGTACTTCTGCGGGTACGCTGACCGTAGATGGACTGGCTTCAAGCTGGCTTGCTTTCCAGTCATTCGCAGATTTCCTGATAACTGGTCAGTGAAACGTTTCGTTTGCGTTTCGTAGATGATTTTGGCGGCGTTACTTAAGTTTCATTATGTTGGCAGGATCGCTCATTACGGCCCTTGTACGTTCGAAAACCGGTTTCCGTAGGACGGACACAATCATTAACCGCCTAGTCCGTGGGGCTATCGAAACTGGTACACCAATGCCAATCAATATCTCCAGAGGCTCATCGGCTTGTCGTTTCAGGTCTCTTTGCATCTGCTTTTGCTCTGGGGGATTTGTTTTCTTTCGCTTTCTTTCGCAATACCAATTTGTACGCCATGTTTGCGTTCCCCATCGGACGCATTTACACGAATGTGAGGAATTTTCTGCGGAATATTCAGTTAAACCCGAGTCCTAATTTACCCACAGACGCTCCTCCATACTCTCAACGCCCGGGCGGAACTCAACAACATGGATGACATCATCAACTGCAACTCCGAGGTTTGTTCGTTCCAACGTAGTCCACTCGACATTCTGAATATTTCATCGAAAGGGAAATGCTGCTGCCATCCGCATGCAAGACCGAAGCATCCCGTCCACCACCGCTGTTTCGGACAGCCAAGGACGCTCTCCCGCGAGCACGGTAAAAAAGGCAAGAAAACGTCCAAGTGCATATGGTGAATGAGTGGCTCGACTCGATGGACGACGAGGGGAAATATAGGACTAGGTCCGCGGCTTTTGCTTATCCTGTCACAGTTTAGAGCAATTGGACCCTCTATAATATACTCACACATTCTTTAAGCTTCGTCTTTCCTTCACTACTCCCGCTGCTTGTTCCTTGTAGGGACCACCGCAGTAATACATCCTCCTCCTCCTCCTCCTCCCGCTCGACACGGAATATGAGAACGCACCGTCATTATTTCAATGCTTACAATTGGCTTACAAAAGGTTTACAGAACCGACTACGACGGCCAAGGTGACTCTCATCTTCAAACGTTCACTTTCAATTCATTCAGCGTAGGATTCCTGATGAGCGCAATTCATTAGAAGGTGCTCTCAACTGCCCACCAAATAGAATACGATCCTCACCTCCATTCTATCGTTGACGATTTTAGCCCCCCGATTTGGCCGCATATTTATAAACATGGTTACAGACAGGTCTGAATCTGTTTACAAACCAGAATTATCAACCGGCTTTCAGTTGCTCGGGACTTATAAACAGCACCCTGTCATTCTGCTACCTAAGCGAAACAGTAAGTATGTGGGCCGTTACGGATCATTGTGGTTGAAAACTCGGATCAAAGCGGGGCACCGTAATAGGGAAGAAAAAGTGATGGTCCAGCCTTGAGTCGAACAAGGGTGCCTAGAATAATTGAGAGAGCCAAACATTATAATGGATTCTGGTGCATTGCCACTATGCTACTAGACCATATTCAACATGATAAAATTAAATGTCAAGACATGTTGATTTTGTGCTTCCGTGAGAAGAATAATAAAAAGTTTGATAAGGATGGTAGGGCCGGCAAGCGGCAAGGCCCGCTACCGGTTGCAGAAGAGGAGACTAGGACGAGTGAAACGTGTCATTCAAGTTCATGGGACGGCGCAGAATATTAAAATATTTGGGTTCGTAGAGCATTCAATGAGTTTTCCCTGAATAGGGATTTGACGTCGGCCAACAGAGAAGTTTTTCGAAAGGGAAGGGAAAAATCTGCAACAGATATAGCAGAACAACTGCACAAGTCGCAGATACTTCCATATGGCAGCCGTAGCAGTTAACATGCAGAATATGATTAACCAGGAGCTGATGATATTCAACATGAAGGTTATGTATATTTTCAGTTCCGAAGGGAATTTATCATAGGCAAAGAAATTTCATTGGTCCGCAGCGTTGAATAGGACGTGGATGCAACTAGAAGGTCTGTCAGTATGAAAGAACTTACAGATAATTTCCACCCTCTCGTGTCGGATTAGCGTGTTAGACGCAACTATAAGGGCTTGTGAGTACGAAACGTAAAGAAAAAGAAGAAAAAACTTGCCGGTGTCATACGTACTTGCTTGGGGGCCCGTGAAATGTTGAATTAAAGTTACACAGCCTTGAGACGCGTCAAGCGCGATGTGGGGATGTCTAGCAGGATCATGTTAGCAAGTGGATGGATGAGAATAGAAAGGGCTTAGCATACGCATGCTCCAGAGCTCTGAATGTAAGTTGTACACCGCGGTGCTGCGCGCCACCGAGGCATCGGGAAGCCTAAAGGTATTGGGCACGACGTCTGAGAGGCTCAGAGCATCGAGTTAGACAAGGCAATGAAGTTATGATGAAAGACTTACCACAAGAGCGAGAGCTAATTCCCCGGACGACGAAAAAGACATGTGCATGGAGCGCTGCACGCTACGGAGGTGTTGCGCGGACACAGGAGGTACGTGGCTGACGAATAATTGTGAGTACATGACGCGAATGTAATCGAGAAGACTTACGCTGAGATTCCTGGACATTCAAATCTCGAGAATTCCGGGGCGGCGCTGTGCGCCGCAGGCGTCGCATACGAAGCTCATGGGGGGTCCGACAAATTTGCGGGTTATGTAGGGCTACAATGTGAACAATTAAAGGTATATGAGAAAAGAATATGAGAAATACACCTGGTCTCCGGGCGCACAAGCAGCGGTCCTACGCGCCACGGACGTGTTCCACGTGTTCATAAGAAGCTCAAGGGAATTTTCGGATGCCTAGGTTAGAATCTAAGCAAAGGTATCGATGATAATAGACAAATACTCACCAAGTGCGGTGGCCTTGCTCCTCGGACGTCGAAATCTTGATTTAAATTTTCTAGGTCGGCGCGCAGCACTGCGGGCACGCTCTACGTGTTCATGGGATGGCCAAAGGAGTTCGTAGGATAGAATGTGAGTAAAGGTATTTAAGTTAACGGACAAGACTTACCTCGTGCGTCAGCCTTGTTCCCCGGCCGTCGAAATCTCGATTCAAAAATTCTGGGGCAGCACTACACGCCGCAGGCGTGTTTGACGCATTCATAGAATCCCAAAAGCAGTGCGTTGAGGCAGAATCCAAAGTGAAACTGAGGCGTATCTTGAAGCCGAATATTGAAATTTGAGGTAAAGTAATTGGCCACCACAGTGTTTGAGGCAAGCCTTGAGCAGGAGTAGCTGGAGGAGTTGAAAGCTTTCACTCAACGGCGGGAGCTGCCATAGTCGCGAGCTTCATTAGAACAACGAGTCGGGCTTGGAGGTCTTGAGCGATGTGCTGACGGAGTTGTAGCCTAAGATCGGAAGTGTGGGGAGAAGCTCGAAGTTGGGACTTGAGGACAATCTCTACACGACTTCCTTAGGCATCGAAATTGCTAAAGAGGCAGATGTTGGGAGAGACACTTTTCACATCACGAACTTTCTAGAATTTCTACTAAATCAAGTTGACGCTCTGCGACAAGCCGACACCTTGCCGCAGTACGTCCAGCCAATCGCAAAGCAGAATTTGTGCTTACGCAAAAACTGCTGACGAAAAATGTAGTTTACTGCGAGTGGCGCAAAATCAGGCGCCCTATAGAAACCCGTACCTAACGGTAGCGGGAATGAAGAGACAATGGTCCAGCCTTGAGTCGAACAAGGGTCATTCAGAACACCGTCTTGCAAACGAACCAATCCGACGCATTACCATTATGCTACTGGACCCTGTTCAATGTGACTTTAAAGGCTGACTTTATGCTTCCTCCTGGTGAGGGAAATAAAAAAGTTTGAGGACGAGAGAAATGGTCCAGCCTTGAGCCAAATAAGGGAGCTCAGAATATTCACTTTTGGTATGTGGATCAGTGAATTTCGATGCATAACCACTACCTCTTCCAACTTCCAACACAGATTCAAATGACCCATGTGGTATGATTCAACTTCCGTTGCTCAGAAAAAATAAAACAAAAACAAAAACAATTGGTCCAGCCTTGAATTGAACAAAGCTTCTCAGAAAAACCCAAACTAGGAAGACATACAATATTCTGATGCATTAACCACTATGCTACTGGACCATATTCAACAGAATTCTGGACGTGTTAGTCAGCTTTGTTTTTCCTCCCGGTGATAAAGTGCGACGGTGAGAAAATAGAAAAAGTTTGATGAAAAGAGAGAATGGTCCAGCCTTGAGTTGAACAAGGGTGCTCAGAATAATAACTTTACCACTTCAATGTGAATGAGTTCTGATACATTAACCACTATGCTACTGGACCACTTTCAAAGTAAATCAAGATGAACTATCATGTTGTACCAACTTCCGCCGCTCAAAAAATAAAACAAAAACAAAAATGATTGATCCAGCCTTGAGTTGAACAAAGGTGCTCAGAACAATGATGTTACTACGTGAATTAGTTCTGATGCGTTAACCACTATGCTGCCGGACCATGTTCAACATCAATTAGAAGGTTGGTTTTGTGCTTCCTCCCGGTGAGGAAAATAAAAAAGGCAAAATCAAAGCGAATGGTCCAGCCTTGAGTTGAACAAGGATAGTCAGAATAACTGGGAGGATAACCAACTAATTCATTCGGGTGCATTAACCACTATGCTACTGGACCATGTTGAGAAAGATTCCGGACGCTTTATAGAATGTAGTGGCCCGGCAAAATAAAACAAGTGCAGTTGTGAGAAAAAATACCAAATACTGGGCATGGTCCAGCCTTGATTCCTACTCAGAATACAATTTGTGGTTGACTAATGAATTTTGCTGCATTAACCACTATGCTACTGGACCATGTGCAGCAGGATTCCGCACGCTTTATAGAATGTGGCGGCCCGACAAAATAAAACAAGTGCAGCTGTGAGAAAAAGATTATGGATCTGACAAATGGTCCAGCCTTGAGTCGAACAAGGGTGCTCAGAATAACTGTTCATGGAATACTTTTGAATTTATTCTGGTGCATTAACCACTATGCTACTGGACCATCTGCAACAGGATTCCGGACACTTTATAGCTTGTGTCGGCCCGATAAAATAAAACAAGTGCAGTAAGAAAAAAAAAATCCGTAGGTTACTAGAATGGTCCAGCCTTGATTCGACCAAGGCAACTCAGAATACAATTCACGGTTGATGTAATAAATTCCGCTGCATTAACCACTATGCTACTGGACCATGTCCAACATGAATTCAAAGGTTGATTTTGTGCTTCCTCCCGGCGAGGAAAATAAAAATATGGTAGCAAAAGAATGGTCCAGCCTTGAGTCGAACAAGAGTAGTCAGAATAACTGGGACGTTAACACAATAATTTATCCTGGTGCATTAACCACTATGCTGCTAGACCATGCACAACGGGATTCTAAAAGCTTAATGTGTCGTATTTCCTGGTGGGAAAAGATACAGTGGTGAGAAAGTAAAAAAACTTGAAGAGGAAGGTATGGTCCAGCCTTGAGTCGAACAAGGGTACTCAGAATAATTGTTCATAGAATGCTTTTAAACTTATTCTAGTGCATTAACCGCTATGCTATTAGACCGTTGGTAACAAAAAACGCGTCGGTCTATGTATGGTGTGGCTTGTTTAATTGGGACTCAGTAGGAAGCGAACACTTGAACTTGCCGCTCGCGATTATTCATTCTATTCATCGCTTTCAACAGTCTTCAAGTAAGTATTCTATTCGTCCCCTTCAACCGGCAGACGAAGTATGATGCGTTATTGCGCACATGGCATACAGATATATATGAACGAGCGAACGGGAAAGAACGAAGGTGTAGGTATGTACGTGTGGTGGTGTGCTGGTTCGGGCCCGGGAATGTGAATCCCCGGCGGAGTAACGTTGGTCGGAGGCTGGGAAGATGTGTCGTTTGTTGAGTGACCTGGCACACACTCACCGAACCGTGCACTGTGAATTTGTGCGGACGTCCCGGCTGCGGTGAACTGGGTTGAAGTTATAATTCGCAGTGCGACGCCGACCGGGATGTTGTTCACGGGCACAGTTCCGGGCGCGCCGCCGGAGGTCGATATCGATGATGCTCTGCGGCGAGAGCGACGCGGCGAGGGGACAGCGACGCGACTCGGACCAAACAAGTGCGATGGGAGGCTACGTTATAATGACGGTGCGTAGCGGTGGGCTGAATTCTATGTACGGCATGACTTGGACGCCGCAGCGGGGCGGAGAGCGCGTGCAGGATATATTATCTGCTCGGCTTTGACTGGATGCACGGCGCCCAATCAACGCTTGGTACTACTCCCGAGCGCGGGCCGAGATCGTCGACTGGAGGCAGATCGTACGGAGACGATGCAGGCGATGTCAGAGACAGGAACTTAACCGAAACGGAAATAAATGACATAAAGATAATGAAATATACACGTGTTTTGACAGTATTTGCACCCGCTTGGCTAGTCGACACCACATTCGCTCTCTCCTCCCCCAAAAACCGACTCCGCGTCGCCCAATTACAGACTCAGCCCCCGCAGGTTGACGGTGCGTGTCTCTGGCTGGCTGGCTGCGTCGCTGCGCAAGAACGGGGCGGAACCCGTCTGTTTTGGGCTGGATGCGGGCGGACGAGATTGGATGATGCTGACTGACTTTTTTTTTGTTGTTTCAGCAATATGGCCTCTAAACTGCCCGCCGTGCTCAGCGCGACCGAGGAGGAGATCCAGCTCCTGCTCGCCGCGGAATGCCACATTGGCACCAAAAACTGCGACAAGCAGATGGAGCCGTATGTGTGGAAGAGACGTCCTGACGGTGGGTGTGGGGCACAGCAGATACTCGGCGTAATACTGACGACAGCCTCCAGGAATCCACATCCTCAACATTGGCAAGACATGGGAGAAGCTCGTGTTCGCCGCGCGCATCATCGCCGCCGTCGAGAACCCCAACGACGTCTGCGTCATCTCCGCCCGGCCGTACGGTCACCGCGCCGTGCTCAAGTACGCGGCCAACACCGGCGCACAGGCGATCGCCGGCCGGTTCACGCCCGGGTCGTTCACCAACTACATCACGCGCTCGTTCAAGGAGCCGCGCCTCATCATCGTGACCGACCCGCGCGTCGACCACCAGGCCATCCGCGAGGCGTCCTACGTCAACATCCCCGTCATCGCTCTCTGCGACACCGACGCGCCCCTCAAGTTCGTCGACGTCGCCATCCCGACCAACAACAAGACCCGCCACAGCATCGGACTCATCTGGTGGCTCCTCGCCCGCGAGGTCCTCAGGCTGCGCGGTACCATCCCGCGCACGAGCGACGGCTGGAACGTCATGGTCGACATGTTCTTCTACCGCGACCCCGAGGAGGTCGAGAAGCAGCAGAAGGAGGAGGCGGACGCAAAGGCCGCGTTGCTCCAGGGCGCGGACGACGCAGCGGCCCCCCAGACCGAGTGGGACGTCGGCAGCGGGCCCCAGGCCGGGAGCATCAACCCCGGGCTTGTCAGCGATGGTGGTACGTGTTCCTCCATTCTTCTCAGTTCCATTGCTCATTTTTCACTGCAGGCGCCCTCGACTGGGCCGCAGACCCCGCCGGCCCCGGCGGCGCGTCGTCCGACTGGGCCGCCGAGCCCACGGCTGCTGCCGGTGGGTGGGGCGCAGAGACGCCCGCCACGGGAGCTGGTGGATGGGAGTAGGCGCGTGCGCGGTCAGGCGAGTGTGCGGAGTAGGCGAATGCGTATGCGATAGGCGAGCAGCACCCATGCACTCATGCGTACATCTTAATTATGCCAGCTACTTGTTCCTTTGCGTTGCACGAGCACACACACAAAAATTCATCATCCATTCATCCTTCCTTTGCCGTGATTCTCTTCCTTGTCCTGTTGTGGCTTGTAGGCGTGAGAGATGATAGTTCAGGATCAACGGATGACTCGACATACTCTTCCCGTTCGGTGTTGCGTTATCCATCCCGCTCTGGAAGAATAGCATTAGAATAGTTTTCCCTTCCCGTCTCGTCTCGTTTCTTTTAAATTAAATTGCGCCCGCTTAGACCTCTTCTAGTACGAGTTCACTCCAAAAAGAAAGGTCCAATAGCATAATGGTAATGCGCCAGGATAATGTTCCATGTTCGCTAAGAATTCTCCTGAAGATCCCTTGTTCGATTCAAGGCTGGACCGTTCAGTACATTGCTCATATTTTTGATGTTTTATCGCATTTTTATTAATATTTCAACCCCGTCGGCTTTCGAGGAATACAGTAATGGAATGTTTTGCAAGGTCTGGTAGCATAGCGGTTAATGCGTTGAGGCTCATGCCCTCGAAGAGCCCTTGTTCGACTCGGGGCTGGACCGGTAACAGTCTTTTTTGCGGCTTTACATAAAAATTATTTGTTAATTGCATCGGTTTGAGCAGAGAGGGGAGTATGGCTAATGTTTTAAGGATGTGGGTATTGGTCCAGTAGCATAATGGTAATGCATCAGCAATACATGTTGTAGAATCACTGTTGTCCCTGACTACCCTTGTTCAATTCAAGGCTGGACCGTTGTATTTAAACCCTCTTTTTTTCAATGGCATTTTTTTTGGCGACCCCGGCATTGAGGGTAATATTAATACCGGTAATGTGGGTAGCATCTTGAACTGTGGAGGGTAATGTGCTGAAGGCTCATAACCTCCGAAGATCCCTTGTTTTGGACCGGTATCTCTTTTTTTTTTTCTGATTTCGGTTCAAATTTCGGAGATTTAAAAATTAAAATAACTTTAAGACAACATGGCTACTGTTTTATAGGGTAGGATATTGGTCCGGTAGCATAATGGTTAATGCATCAGGGTATTATAGGACAGCTGTTGGGTGATTTTCATACTGAGTATCCTTGTTCGACTCAAGGCTGGACCATCATTTTTTTTTTTACATTGCCCGCATTCGAAATACCGGTAACACGGTTGACATTTAAAGTGTGTAGACTGGGGTTTGGTAGCATAGTAGTAATGTACCCAAGGCTCATAACCTCCGAAGTGCCCTTGTTCAGCTCAGGGCTGGACTGGTGTCGTTTGTTTCTGCATTGAACCGGGAATTTGAAATTTGAAATAATGTGGCTAATGTTTTATGGGGCAATTATGAGGCTGGACCATCATTTCTTTCCGCATTTTATTTTATTTCAACCCCTGTTTTCAGGAAATAATGAAGGTGAGGCTGATGTTTTAGCAAGGTTGGTATAGGTTCAGTAGCATAATGGTTAATGTGTCAGGATATATGTACACTAGTTCCGCAATTATTCTGGTGACCCTTGTTCAACTCAAGGCTGAACCATTTTTTCTTTTGCATTTCATTCCAACATTCCAGCACCCGCAATAACGGGAATATGGTTGCATTTCAAACTAAGGTCCGGTAGCATAGTGTCAATATTGAGGCCTATGACCTCCGAATAGCCCTTGTTTGACTCAGGGCTGGACCGGTACTGGTGTCTTTCTGCGTTGTATTTTGGTTGGCACGGGTTCAGCCATGAAATAATGGCAATATAGTCGATAGTTAATAGAGAGGGACATCAGTCCAGTAGCATAATGGTTAATGTATCAGAATTGAATATTCAAAGAGTGAATTTGTTCTGAGCATCCTTGTTCAAGTCAAGGCTGGACCACTCTTTTTCGCTTACATTTTTATTTTAACCCTTATTTTTGGAAAATAATGGAGGTGAGGTTGATGCTTTAGCTGAGTTGATATTGGTTCAGTAGCATAGTGTTAATGCACTGGGATATACTGCTCATTCTTTCCAACATGATTATTCTGACTACCCTTGTTCAACTCAAGGCTGAATCATCCTTTTTTTATCCATTTTCTTTTACTTCGATCTCCGCTTTCGGGAAATATTGATAACGGTAACATAACTAATGTTTTTGAACCATGTAAGTGTGGTCTGGTAGCATAGTGGTTAATGCATCAGAGCTGGATAAATAGTCCTCGAAATAGAGCTACTCTGAGTACCCTTGTTCAATTCAAGGCTAGACCACTCCTTTTTTTGTATTTTATTCCAACCACCGGATTCAAATAGTGGCAACTTGGTGATATTTTGAACAGCGTCCGGTAGCATAGCGGTAATGTGTCGAGGCTCGTGTCTTTTTATTTTTTTACTAGTTTACTATTGTTAACCACGTCTCTGCTTAATACAAAAGCTGAGGTACGACCGAAATCGTCCACGACGGGCCGTGAAAATAAGTGGGTAAGTTTCTTCATCAACGTCCAATCCGTGTCGATCTCTCCATTTTCTCTCCGTGTGACTCTCTCCTGGACTTGCGATTGCGCGTAACCTCACATCTACCCGTCATCATCCCCTTATCTGCGTCGGCCGCGTTCATCAGTCTTCTTCACCATCTCTCTCTGCCAGTCGCCCCATATTCTGCCGGCAATCATTATGGCTGCAGGTTCAATTAGAAATAAGTTGAAAATAAAGGCAGCATCACTGATGTTTTAACTGGGTTGGTGTAGGTCCAGTAGCATAATGGTCAATGATGATAATATCTATCTCTTTGAGACCATTTATGTTCTTGGTTGACCCTTGTTCAATTCAAGGTTGGACCAACGTTTTTTTTTTTGCATTTCATTCCAACATTCTAGCACCCGCAATAACGGGAATGTGGCTGCATTTCAAACTATGCAGGTAAGGTCCGGTAGCATAGTGTTAATGTCGAGGCCTATGACCTCCGAAGAGCCCTTGTTTGACTCAGGGCTGGACCGGTACTGGTGTCTTTCTGCATTGTATTTTTGGTTGGCACGGGTTCAACCACGAAATAGTAATGGCAATATGATTGATAGTTAATGGAAGAGGACATTCGGTTCAGTAGCATAGTGATTAATGTGTTAGAATCGACTTGCGTGAGAATGTTGAGTGGATTATTCTAGTAACCCTTGTTCGATCCAAGATTGGACCATCATTTTTTCGTAAATTCTTTCTCATTTCAATCCCCGCTTTCAAGAAATAACGGAACGTTTTGAACCATACAAGCAAGGTCCGGTAGCATAGAAGTAATGCGCTAGAGACTCCTAACTTCCGGAGATCCCTTGTTTGACTCCGGGCTAGACCGTTGATTTTTACGTCTTTATTTTGTCAATGGTATCGATTCAACCACAAAATAATGGCGACATGGTTGATATTTGAGGGGGGAAAATGTCGGTCCAGTAGCATAGTGGTTAATGCATTAGAATACACTTGTTCTTGGGGACAGAGGTATTTCTGGATATCCTTGTTCGATTCAAGGCTGGGCCATGAACTGCCAAAACTTTGTTTTTCTTGCGGCAATCTCCCTCCCCCCTTGTTGAGTTTACACATCCAAACTTTCTGAATAATTAGGCTTTATCGCAGTTTTTTTTTTGTTCTCAGTTCAGCCGAATGCATGTGCGCGAGGCTATAAGCCCGCCGCAACGTTGAACAATAGTGTCCAAGCGTATTTGGTGCTGTCATCACTGATCACCGTGACAGCCGATCAAAAGTTCAATCATCTTCCTCTTAAACCGCGTTCATCCAACCCTTGTGGATAGTTACCAAAATCTGGTTTCGGGCTCGGGTGTACGACTGCGGTACGTTAGCATATACAGCAGCTATGTGCAAGCCAGCCCGGGGCCGCGATGACCGACGCCGTGGATGCCACGTTTTCGGAGCAGTCACGACGTCTAACTTGCAGGACGCAAACACGACTCGCGAGCATCGAGTTGCGTTCATTGAGCCCAATGCCGTCCACGTTCCGCACACTATTAGGTGCCGTGATGCCGCAGCTGGTCAATGCTGCGAACCCGCTGTTGCTCTTGTGGTGCCGATATCATGAATCATGATATCTCGGCGGATTTCGACCTACTAATACGGCTTAGGCTGGGAAGTGTTCGAAACTTCGATTCTTTGTTCTGGGATACCGGCTTAACATTCACGCTGACAAAAGGCGTGTGTCTAATCTCGGCCCGCCCTCGGATATCGACCGAATGGTCACAGCGCAGGGTGGCTACAACGCACGCTGATGCAGGCAGGATACGTGGGCTGTGGCCACTCGCCCAGAACAACATTCGCCACGCACCATGCAACGCCGCTACATATAAAAGGCGCCTTGCCAATAAAACAATCCCCCTCGCTCAATTCCCCAGGTTCGGTCAATTCCCAGGTCCCCGCCATCCGTCAATCCCCGAATATCCACCCCGGCACCGAATACCCACCTGAATAAGCCAGCTGCCATCCCCAAATACCCACCCGTAATAAGCCAAGCCTGGTCGCTGCATCAGTATATCTATCACCCACACACTTCGTTTCTGGGCCGGAGGAGGCTATACGAAACACAAAACAAGAATCGGAACGGAACGCCTAGCGCCCTAGGCTCATCATACATACAACGACAATTCAGAATCACCATCTTTCTTCCTTCCTTTCATCTTGCTTTCTACCAGCGCACCCACTTTCCTTCATTCATTTTTCATTCCTCGTTTATTCTTTATTCTTACTTTCTTTCTTTCCCGCGACTACCATCCTTTCCCTCGAATCCTCTCCCCCTCCCTACTAAATCCCGCGACACCCGCTGGCCCGGAATGGACTGCCTCCCCACCCTCGAGCGCGCCTACCCGCGAAACCAGAACCAGAGCGCGAATGTGAATCACCTCCCCCAGCCCGGTGCATATCGGACCGTGTGGCGGAATGAGGAGTTTTGGGACAAGACAGCGGACCGGGATGTAGATGATGTGGATTTCAATCCGAAGCTGTCTCGGGAGATGTTTCATCGCTCCGACTCCTCGTCCGGGAGCTCGACGCACACGACATTGACCAGGAGCTCGACGCACACGTCCGATTCCGAGTCGACGCTGTGCGACGATATCGGTGGTGAAGCTCTGCTAAGTGCTGGTTCGGACCTGCCGTTCAGAAATATGGGCGAGCTGCTCGAGTTTGTGAAGAGGATATTCGAGGTGCGTTTTCTCGTCCTGTCGGTATATATATATTCTAGCTCTGAGGCTGACATACCTGAGTTCAGAGTGTCCAGGTTCATATGAAGGATAACCGGGAAGATTTGGCTAACAAGTGCGTCTTGAATCGCGATTGACGGACCTAACTAATTGCCTGCTAGGCGGCTGTACGCAATCCTCGTCGAAGAGCCCACCGCCCCCGCGAAATATCCGCCGCCGTGTCTGCTCGACTTCCGCGTCGGATGTGACCCACACGAGGTGCACGAAACAACAACACTGATAATGCACGACCTTGGCGTCATGCTGCGGCACCTCCTCCTCCTCCTTCTACGCCTCACTTCAACCACTTTCGCTGCTCCCGCCCAAAACAAGAGAAGCAAAAGCAAATGCAGGAGTAAAAGCAAAAGCAAATCCGTGCTGAAGCTAGAGCGCCGGCAGCACCGCGCGCTGCACGCGCTCGCGGACTACATGGTCTGTGCGCAGCTCGACGCGGACGATATGTCGAACGTACTGGAGCGGGTGGCGGGCGTGCAGCGAGGGGAGGTTAAGGATGTTGAAGTTGATGATGAAGCTGCGCAGTTCGATCTTGGGTTACTTCAGAGCGGATATGACTCCGAACGCGGGTACGACTCGTCGGGGTCAGAGGCGACCAGGCCTGAGTCTACTCGACCCAAGCGCGGGCGGGCGGTTTCACCGTGGTGGATGGTGTTGAATTTGAAGAGAGGGGAGCAGCGGCGAGCTCGGAGTGTTCAGGCGGTTTGAATGGGTTTATTTCGTTTTAGGAGGCTCATTTGTTGTATTTGGTCACTCGTTGTATTCTCGCACTCATACTTTTAGATTATTTAACAAAGTTCAACTCACGCCGCGGCTGATGCAGAGTGGACAGCCACTGACAGCGAGAGCCAGTGACGTCACACAACTTCGCTTTCATTCTACCACCACTCCCCTTTAGATTATAGACTACTCTAGACGTCCTTTCGACGATGCCCAAGGTACCGTCTCTGCGCCATCGCGCCATCGCGCTGCTATTCACACCCAATAGATCACCGCACTCCTCTTCGACTGCGACAACACGCTCGTCCTCTCCGAAGTCCTCGCTTTCGAGGCCTGCGCTGAGCTCGCCAACGAAATACTCGCCTCGCAGGGCATCCCCGACCGCTACACCGGCCACCAGCTCTTCACCGAGTTCGTCGGGCAGAACTTCCGCGGGATGATGTCCTCCCTCCAGACGAAATTCGCCTTCACGCTCCCGCCCGCGGAGTTCACCGCATACGTCACGCGCGAGGAAGACGCGGTCATCGCGAAGCTGCGCGCGGCGCTGCGCCCGTGCGAGGGCGTCGACGCGCAGCTCGCGCGCCTCGCGGCGGACCCGCGCCAGTACGCGATGGCGGTGGTGAGCTCGAGCGCGAAGCGCCGCGTCGAGGCGAGCGTGGACAAGGTGGGGCAGGACAAGTATTTTGCGCGCGACCGCATATTCAGCGCGGCGACGAGCCTGCCGACGCCAACGAGCAAGCCGGACCCGGCGATCTACCTACATGCGTGCGAGGTCATGGGGAAGCGGCCCGGGGAGTGCGTGGCGATTGAGGACAGCAAGAGCGGAACGCTGAGTGCTGTGAGGGCGGGGATCCATACGGTGGGGTATGTGGGGAGCTATGAGCCGCTGAAGCAGGAGGAGATGCGCGGGGTGTTGAAGGAGGCGGGAGCTGACCCGATTATGGCAGATTGGGAGGAATTCCAGGCGTGTTTGGACGAGATCGAGAAGCGGCCAGAGGCGTCTGGGAAAGCGAAATGTTGAACTGCGGTGTTCGATGGACAATAGCTTATCGATCGATTCGATTGTGGAACTCTGAACATTCAACAACTTGCAGAAGGATTAGAAAGGAATTCATGCGTAGAAAACTTGCGAGGTACGAGCTAGAATTAAAACTGAGAGACCAGATTAAACCACCCGCTTCCACTATTAGGCGCGCGTCGGCCGAAGCGATTGATACTATCATTGATCCTATTCATCAGGCGGATCACCGAATGTGCACTGCCACATCAGGCGGGATCAAGAGCAGTCCACCTGCTCTCTCAACCATCTGAAGATCCACGTTACAGCTGCCTATTATTCTTGCCTCCTACAACCGGGCGTGCATTCATGTCCTGCATCCAAAAATACACATGAAACTAGTACTCGGCTAAACTTAGACGGACCGCCTTTCGTCCCCGGTCGGCAGTTTCGCCAAATTTGAATCCGGCTCCTGCCCTTGAGCTTGATGCGCATTCACTGGGACCTAAAGCACGACACGTCTCAGCATACTTGGCCACGAAACCTGGGGAATATCTTTGCCCAAGTATGCAGACGCGATGACTACATGCCACAAATGGCCATTTTTCCCGTTGAAACACCGTGTGTTGATCAATGCAGTGTCGCCTCGCCGGGTCTACCGCCTCCGGCGCTTGTCGTGGCGCCGATATAATCCTGGAGTTGATGGCGTTTCTGAACTCCCCACCCACCTCCACCCACCCACCACTTACTCAAACCTTCTTTTCTTTCGAGCTAGTCTCCCTTTTAACCATTTCACTTGCCCCAATGTTCTTCCTCAAAGTCGCATCCGTCGCGTCCATTCTTTTGGCGTCCCACCCCCTGGTGAACGCCGTCCCTGTGCGCAACTTGCGGCGCGCCACGTCTCCGATAACCGCGGCGGAGCTCATCCAGATGGGCGCGTCGCCTGACTGCGCGACGGCCACGCAGTTCCCTGCCGAGTGCCGCACGGCTGAGCAGGCGGCGCCCTTCGTCAACCAGGCCTTTGCCGACTTTGGCATCGACACCAACGGCGAGAAGGCCGCGATCCTCAGCCTCATGCTCTTCGAGTCCGGGGGATTCCTCTTCGACATCAACCAGTGCGTGCGGCTTTCCGATTTTTTTTTTTCATTTCTAATCTACTCGACGTAGCTCGCTGAACACGCCCGGGCAAGGAACCCGCAATCTCATGACCTTCCCCTTCATCCTCCAATACGCGCTCGATACGCCCAGCGTCGCCGCCCAGGCGCAGGCCCTCGTCGGCGCGAACGCGGCGAACCCCGGCGCCGTCCCGCCCGACACGCAGAACGCCGTGCGCGCGCTCGTGCTCTCCGACCCGCTCAGCTTCGCTAGCGGCATGTGGTTCTACAAGCAGAGCGGCGCCGCCAAGACGGGGTGCACCGCGACTCCCGGCCTCGTTGCGGGCCTGCAGCTCGCGACGATCCCCGGCTGGGAGCAGTACATCACCAACTGCGTGTTCACGACCGTGACGCCCGAGCGCCAGGCGGGGTTCACCAAGGTGCTGAATGTGCTGTTGGCGAAGA